CATACCTAATTTCCTATTTTAGCAACAAAATATAAATTGGACTCTGTATTTAATAGTGCTTTCTACATAAGAAAGTGCAAATACAATAGAATTATGAAAGCTCCACCAACAATTTTGTACTTCATATAGCACCTTTCTTACTGAAGGATCTCAAAGCACTTTAGACAAGGATAGACATATAGCACACAGAAATTGCTTCAGACACTGTTGCAATACACAAATCTATGGGATTAAATATAGCAACTGTTCACCAGTGTGCAGCAACTGTATGCAACAGTTTAGAACAGGAAGTAAATAAAGCCATGTGTAGTAGGGAAAAACTTGGTTGATTGAAGTTCCCTGCTATCTCGGTAAATGCCTGGTCCTGTACATTTGGGGTATATTTAGATTATAGGGATTTTTCGAAAAAGTAGCCATTTTTCAAAAAATCTTTACCTGCGTCTAGACTGCCGCCACAGTAAATCGAAAGAACATGGCGGTTTTGTCGATGGCGGTAAACCTCGTTTTACGAGAAATAATGCTATTTTCGACAGAGATCTGTCGAAAAAAGGTATGTGTGGAAGCAGGGAAGGGTTTTTTTTTTTAAATAAAGGCCTCCAGGAAGAAAACCTGGGGGACACTCCTGCCAGACCTTTTACCTCTATTGTTCCTGCCTGTAGCCATCTTTGAAAGGCACAGGCACCCAGGAGTAGCATTGTGGCAGCAAGCCAGCTCCAACCAGGACCCTGACTGCTTGGCTCTTGTTGGAAGGCCCACTCAGAGCCATGTCCCAGGGACAAGCCCCCTAAAGCCCCCCTGGCTCTTCCAGGGACACATCCCCCCACCAAGCCAGGGGCACCAAATACCAGGCATCCTCTTGGTCTGCACCTGAGATCAAAACCCTCTTGGAGCTCTAATCCGAGGAGGAGTCTCTTCATTCCCCACAGTCCAGGAGGAGGAATGTGGACATTTATAGCAGAATGGCTGATGGCCTTGCCAAAAAAGGCCACCATCCCCGCACACTAGACCAGGTCAGAGCAAAGGTGAAGGAGCTGTGGCAGGGGTATGTTAAGGCCTGTGAACACAGCTCCTGCTCTGGGGAAGCAGCACACTATTGTGCCTATTATGAGGACCTGGACCGGATCCTGGGGCATGGGAACTCATCTCCAGAGAAGTGGAGTCTGGGATGGAGACCCCTATGCAGCAGCGGCTGCAGCTCCAGGATGACACCCCAGACAACCAGCAGCTCCAAGACGAGGAGGAGGAGGACACCAGGAGCACAGTGACCGTTTCCCTGGAGCCGGATACCCAGACGCAGGAGGCCTCCCAGACAACTTTGGACACCGGGGAGGGAACAAAAGAAGCCATTCAACTTTGTGTAACTTCATTGAAAGTAGCAAACACTTGTATATTATTCCCTTACAATGGTAATGCAGCAAAACTACATAAATAGCTCTGGAAAGAGCTACATGCTTCAGAGCACTCTTTTTGGGGAGAAATATAGGACTGGAAATGTGTTGTTGGGGGGCACTCTACATCTGGTAGCCAAAAGAGGTGAAAGTCAACCTCTGGCTGCAGCTGACACTCAGGGCATGTCTACATTACAGAGATTGACCCTCTGGAGGTCCATCTTCTAGCATTTTAATTATTTAGCAGGTGTAGTGTAGATCCCCAAATTGAATGCTGAGGGCAGCCCTGCTGATGTCCTGTGCACCTCATTCTGCCAGGAGTAAGGGAAGCCATAAGGAGCACATGCTCCCATTGGCCTCCTACAGTGTAGATGCTGCAGGGACTTGGCTACCCATTTTGCATAGATGGATGGTGTACCTTAAGCAGATATGCCTGTTCTAGTGCAGACCAGGCCTCAGGGTGAGAGGTACCTGTCTCTCAGAACTGGACAGGTCCTTGAGAGGTCATCAAGTCCATCCCCTGCCCTCATGGAAGGACCAAGTACCATCCCTGACAGATTTGCCCCAGATCCCTAGTGGGCCCCCTCAATGATTGAGCTCACAACCCTGGGCTTAGCAGGCCAATCTGACCAACATGGCGTTTCAGAAGAGCCTAGGCTCTCCAGCAGCAAAGCAGCATAAGGCACCTCACATTGTGTAGGGCATGGATTCCCAAACTGGGGGGATGTGCACCCCTGGGGGGGTGTGAAGATATTCTAGGGGGGCACGAGGCAATCCTACCCTCTCCCCCCCACACACACACCCATCAATAGCACTGCAAGTTTTGCTGCTATTTTGGGGGAAGGGGGCGTGAGGGTTGCTCAAAAATCAAAAGGAGGCCATGATGCCAAAAAGATTGGGAACCACTGGTGTAGGGCAGAAAGCCTTCACCGGTCCCACTTGCACGCGAGCATGTCCTAGTGTCTGTACAACAGCGCATCTCCCCAGCACTTGGCCCCTCCGTGCAAGCCCAGGGCAGGGGATGTTAAAAGATGCCCAGCCCGGGGTGCGCTGCCTGCCCCTCTGCTGGGCAGGTGTCCAGGCAGGGGAAGCGGCTTGGTGGCCACCGAGCCCAGTCGGGGGAGCGGGTCGCGTTATAACATCAGCCCGGGAAACCCGGCCCCCTTGGGAGGCGCACGGCTGCCAGCCCGGGTCCCGCCCCGGCCCCGC